TAAATATAAAACTGACTAAAAAGAAGTGATACAAGTTCAACATTTCTCTTGGACTGTTAAATTTATTCCTGACCAGTAGAGCTTCAGTCTCTTAGGAGACTTTTAGCTTGAAGTTGCACCATACAATGTAGATTCAGATTTATTTGAATCATGGTGGTGACTTACACAATAGCAACCCAAATTATTGTTTAATGAATGGGGATATCTATAGGAAAAATAAAACCCTTCCTTTTAGGAAGAGAGGCTAGAGTTAATTGTCAATTTAAGCAACCTATTGAAGTGCAGATTTAAGTTTCTTCAAATCAGGGATTGGACTGGGGACATATAGGATTCAAAGTCATATAGAAATAGTATAGAAATATAAAGTAGTAAAATACCTTAATCTTGAGAACAGTGCGGGTATAATTTATCAAATTAGTACGAAGCAGCTGTTAATCTTCCTCTTGTGCCCTACAATCTATGTGGCCACAATATTGGCAATTTTGAAGCCATTGTGAACAAGACTTGTACTAATCTATACTATATTCTTACACCTCTCCATCCAGAGTCGTGATAGATTGAATGTGGTTAAATGATCCCAAATAACCATCAGTCTATCAGAGAAGAGCAGAACTAGAGGACAATTGGAAGATTTTATTGACTTTAATCATTACAGTTTCATTAATATGTCAGAGTTACACAGATACTGATGTGGTCTAGTACAGTACATAGTACTAGGATCACTGGGAGCTTAATTTGTGAAAATATTGGATGCCAAAAGATCAACATTTTTTGGTTTATTTTTTCACTTGATAATTTTATCTGGTTGTTCACTGTGTAACTTACGCTGTCTTACATAAACAAAATGTCCGGGTTCAAAGTTAAAGGGATTTAATCATCATATAACTGAAGACACAGTGTGGATTGAAAATGGATAATAACTGCAGCTCTGATTTTGACCAAAACTTTGATTACAATGATTCTGAGAACTGGAACAGTGGTGTTTATTCCTACAAACTCTTTCATACATGTAAGTTCAAATCAGAATTTTCATTCTGCACTTGTTGCTATTTTGAAATTGAAGTCTGTATAACTGTATTAAAACTTGAGTTCTCAAAAATATTTTACAGTCAAACCTCGTTATCTTGAACTTGAGGGAACCAAGATTGACCTTCAAAATGTCCAAGGATTCGAGATAACGAGGGTAAAAACAGAGAGAAAAAGTTGGTTTGGACTGTCATCTCACTTTGACAGTATTCCTTTATCAAGATATCAGTGTTTGATCATTAATTAATAAAAAAAAATACATGTATTTTTTCTGCAGTTATGTAATTAGCACAAAGTCTGCTGCTGTTAGCAGCCATGGGCATATTGGAAGTATCAAGTATCAAACAAAAAGATGTTTATTTTCCCTCCCTAATTGACCTAAGCTGACTAAAACAAAAATTACATTTGACCCACAATTTTTTTTTTTCGCTTTATTATAAAAGATACAGTAAAACTTGGCTATACAGAAGTCACTGGGACTTGACATCACTGATATCCTCTATATCTGTATAATAGAGGAGCCTAGGGGATTCATGTACAATTCTTTATAACTAAGATTTCCTTATAACAGAGTTCTTAAACCAAGTTTTACTGTATTTATTTTGACAATGTATTAATTCATAGCATTTATCAGCACTGCTTTGTGTCATGCTTGAACTTCTGGTATTCAAATAACGGCTAACAATAAGAGAAATCATTCGGGAGACATTTTCTTTATGCTTATCGATATTTATTAAGTATGCCAGCGTCTGTATCGAGCACTTAATTTGGAAAATTTCACATGAGAGTGATTTGATTTTGTAGAAAATTTCCTAGAATATGAAATAGCAAATTCAAAATACATAAATTTGCTTAAAAATTACCACTGGAAAAGAAGCCCAGTATTCTGTGAAGTCACAATGTTATATCATTAAAAAAAAGGAAAAAAAAGGCCCATATCGATTTTGAGGTCAAAAGGTCAAGGTCTGAAATTCATAAATTCTGTCTGTAACACTTTCCTTTCCGGATGATAACCAAGAAGCCTTTGAGGTTTTGTAATGAAATTGTATATCACAACTCCGAAGACCCCTATTGATTTTAAGATCAAAAAATTTTATTGGAACTTTTTAACATTTCAATCCCTCAAATCCAGTGCAGATGCTGCCAAAGGAATTATTTTCAAATCAGTCAGGTATCCTGAAATACTAATCATGTCACAAATGTATTAAACTGTATGCCTAGAGGGAATAACAAAAACTATGGCAGACTTCTGTAATTCAGACAGGTTAATTACCTGAGTGAACTTACAAGTTTAATTCATTCAACTGCTTCTCATTAAATGTGCACACAATTTTACCTGCTATAAAATTTAAAAAGTCAAGTTCAGCTTTAATAATTATACAGTAGAAATATAAAGTATATTCTAATGGTTACTTAAATGCCAATTCATGAAGTGACTGATAGTATATTGAAAAAAGTAACTTGATTTTTTTCTTTGCACATGGAGAAAGGGAATTTAAACAGTGCAATGTGCCACTTGTCTATATGTTAACAGTTCCAAGTGGAAACATGATACTGTCTTATTAAATTATCAATCTAATAAAGCTTATATAAATTCAGATAGGTATATTTATTTCCTTCAACAGACAAAATGTGCAGTATTATTATGTAAATGACTGATAAGTGTAAGGAAGCTGGTATCTAATACAACCGAGTTCTACAGCAAAAGTGCATTGTGGTTTTTTTTTTTTGAATGTCGTGGGCACAAGTAACCTAAGATGATGGGAGTTAACACATTGTAATAATCTGTTAGTACACCCTTTGGTATGTAGGAAGTCATAAAGACAGGAAAATCATCGAAAAAAGGGTTTTAGATTCAAAATCTGGCACTTACAGTCACCTCTTTTTCATTGACCCTATAGGAAATTACGCATGTTAAACTTGTGCATTTCATTAAAATTAAGGGAAGTATGGTGATTGTTCAAAATGTGTTAAACTAACGAGATTAAATAAAATAGGTCATTAAACTCCTAATTAAACTAATTAATTATCTTTGAAGGTTTATTTTTTCGTTTTATGGTAGCATGCAGTAATAAAAATACATGACTGAGTCTTAGTATTGTATAGGATTTTGGCATCCGCATTCCTGAATTTTATGTTTGATATATTTCTGTACTGTAATTTCTCAGTAACTGTATAAACCTATACCTCCAAGGAAAATCTCACGCAAATCATGACCAATGATGTCACCTGACTTTAAAAAAAAAATTGAATTCCACAAATCAGCTAGTCACGCAGGTTTCTCAAGTGGCTGTGTATATAGTGCTTAACCTTTTCACTAGTGGACATTGATAGACAGATTATTCTTTATTGATCTTACCAGATTGACAAAATCAATTAGTGTTATGTAGGGCAGCAGGAAGGAAGGAAACGCCCACTGAATTGCCAGAAGGTATCTCTGATTCAGGTGCATTAAAACAGCTTTTCCTCATCATCTTTATCATAGGCTCAGTTTGTTATTTTGTTATTTTTTGTCACTTAAATTATGCACACATACACACACACCCTCACACACACACACACACAGACAGACAAATAATAAGATGAGGTTAAATAAAATGGCATTCAATCATTGAAAATAAACTGTACAATACAATATTTTTATATTCATAAACATATCATCATATCTTTTATTACATTTGACATGTATAATTGGAACATTTCATATTTTTACAATGTAAATGTACGAACTTGGTGTTTTGGTCTATTTTTAATTTTCAGTTTTTGTGTTTGGTGGATTTAAGAATTGATTTTAAGAATTAAACATCTAATTCTTACTTCTTTTTATGATGAAGCATTTGATGTAAAAGGAAAAAAAGATTGCAGTCTAATGTTTCCTTATGTAACTAAAAGGCCAAACATTCCATCATCAAAGTGATCACGTCTGTCTAGGGTCAGCCCAGTATACGCGTTAACTCCTGTCTGCGAACCTGTCAGACCTCTCGTAAAGAACAGCTAGTCTTCTCTGATGTCATTGACAAATTTGGAATCTTTGGAGTGTTTTTTAAAAAATTTTTGTAGACCGACTTTTTTTTAATCTGTGTTGTAAGCAGATGTATCAAACAGAGAAGACTTAATACATCAAAATTTCAAAATTTTCTTTGATAAACATATCCAATTTGTTTCCTCTTAATAGCATACAAAGAATTATTTGTATGGCAGTACCTAGAAATTCTATGTATTATAGTTATAAATAAAGTTAAAAAATTATTAATTTTCTGCAGATGCTGATTAAAATTCCTGTCATCAGAGCACTGTTTTTTTTTTCCAGTATAAAATATTTACGTATTTTGATTTTTGAAAAACAACCACACAGTATTTATGAGCATCAGTTGATGATTTGAATACTGTATAGAATTATATAGCCATGAGTACCTGAATGTGAGCTGAAATCCTCTTACATAGAATGATGAATGATCTTACCCAGACAGTGTGTTGACCTGAAGGAGGATACACTAATAGAACTTGGAGGAGCTATACATTTTTTTCTTTTGTGTACAAGTTGACTACAAGGATAGTTAGGATGTCTCAATATAATGTTTTTCTTGGTGTGTACACTGCTGCCACTTACTGTTTGCCATTTCCATCTTTACAAAAAAAAGTGGAATTACTTTTTTAAGTGCTACTATGCTATAATGAAATGGAATTCCTGTTGCCAGTTTTTTTTAATGGATTTTTGGGGTTTTTTTATATATAGATTTAATTTTTATTGTTAATCAACAGTGTTTAATATTTTGGCATTGTTTTACACAGTCTTCCATGTTTTGTATATTTATCTCTCTATGTATGCATCATCATAATCACCATTATTTACCACCAGTTCTCTCCATACATTCTCACGTATGTTGTTGTGTAGTTTCCCACGATAAATGACTCTTGCATTTTGTCTTTTCCTTTGTCAGTATACCTAATTTTGCTTTGGTTATGTTTTCCAGCACAGATCACGATGGAGGACCTCCAGATTAAGCGACACAATCTGTCCATCCATTCCTACAAGTCACCCCATTTCTGTGATTTCTGTGGAGAGATGCTGTGGGGCTTGGTCAAACAGGGACTTAAATGTGAAGGTAGCTAATTCAGTAAGAACCTCTAACATCAGTGAAAAAATAAACATTTTTTTACCTTGATCTTTCCTTCGACCTTGACCTCACTTTTCTGAAATTTGCATTTTGCTTAGTTTTAAAGAAACTGTTTAAGATATTTTTATGTAATCTTATGCACTTGTACATAATTTGGTGAGAATTTATCATATATATTTAATTTTTTATATTTTAATTTCAATTTTAAAGAAACTATTCAAGATGTTCTCATCAAACTTTATACACTAAAGCAAATTTTCATGTTGCACTACTTATATACCCTCGGCGGGGCATTCATGTCTTACAAACATGATTTTTCTTTCTCAAACAGGTTGTGGATTGAATTTTCACAAGCGCTGTGCCTTCAAGATTCCAAATAACTGCTCATATGACCGACAACGTCGACCGTCAACGAGCAGTATAACATACCCCATGCAAGATCTGAGCATACGAGATAAAAATGATTCTGTAGCTCTCCCCGAGAGCCCAAGCCAGGTCACCTTGATCTCAAAGGTAAAAAATGTCATTTAATTTTCACAAGGTCTGAAAAGCATGCTGTTGACCAGTCTTTACTGAGTATTACTCTTAATCCTACAGAATAAAAATCTCAAAGATTGAGAAAAATAATCTAAATACAATTTATTTTGAAATACTGTAAAAGCAAAAATATTTGTTAGGGATTAAATTTTGTTTCATTGATGACATTTATTTGTTTATGCAATTAATTCCCTAATTTTTTGTCCAGATATAATTAGGTAGTACATGTATTTTTTTTTTAAACCACAAATCAAGAAATTTTATCCCCACAGAAATTTTTGCTTTTACACTACAGTATTGAACAACATTTATTTTGATTAGCATGCCTTAGCATTGTTTAAGGTTTTAATCTTTTTTTATCATTTATGCAGACTTTAAAAGTATGAAATTGACAATATTCTTTTACGATGTTTCATAGTTCTTTTCATTGGTCAGAACAGAACAATGACACGATAAAAAACATCTTTAACTGAAAGGTTAACCCCTTGTAAAGTTCATACTTCACCCAAAGAATGCCCAGGTTTAAAAGTGTAAGGAGTCAAAGAAGACTTTGTGATGAGCACGTTTCTCTCCCCTTTCTCCAATTTGGATCATACTTCAAACTGTCTGTGAGTGAAGTGTGTGCACTTAACTTAAACTAATTTTATTACTCAAAGGTTAAGGTCAAAGCACATCTCTTTGTAGAAAGGTCAAAATTCTACATCAAATCAGACCTTTGTATAAAAACCTTGTCTGGAATATATACTGACATATTACATTTGGCTGTGTATTCTATTTAGCACCTTTTGTTGAAAGCAGCTTCTGCTAAACCTAGTACATTGCTAAATGTTTTGTATGTACATTTTTATCTAGCAGCTTCTGAAATGCTGTATATATCAAATGTACTCCAACTTGCTAAAAAAAAAAAAATAAATTCTGTAGTATATAGTACATGTACAAGTGAAATATGATATATTTACAGTATTTTCTGCACTTGGACCAGTGCGGTTTTACTTAACAGCTTCTGTGGGTAAAGGGTGTGCGGTGTTGGTCAAGAATTTAATGTAAACTCTTTGTTTGAGGTATGAATTCTCTCCTCGTTATCTAATTCCACTGATATCTCAAACATACTGTGTTTTTGAGAGACAGATTTACAAGTGCATATTTGCAAAAACATTGTGAATAATCACGTACAGTGGCCTCTGGGTATAGCGAGATTGGATACAGCCTGGTACAGCTTACGAGATAAATTTTGAGTCCCAGATTAATTCTTATTTCTTTATAAAAATGCTGGATATAATGAGGTCAAAATCTGTCCTGGTTAGAAGAAAGAGCTATTGGATATAACGAGGTACTCGCATCGCACACAATTGCACCTGTTAGTCCCAGGTAAATTATCACAGGTATATGTACACAATTTAAACAATGCCAATTAATTAAGGTGTTTAGTAGTAATAGTGAGTTGTTTTTATTGCTATGTTAACTTCAGTATGCTTCTAAGTTTATACGAAACAAAAGTAGAAGTTATTAGCGGAGTTCAAGTAAAATTTTTAAGGACTATGGATAAGAATTGAACACATTTAGGAAATTTTAAAAACCAAATAAATAAAAAATTACATTGCCTCAGAGTTTCATGTACAAAGTCTGTAAAGTAAAGGGGGGGGGGGTTTAATTGAATATTTTATTGGGTCAATCATTTAGTACTTAATACAATGCATTGAGGATGCATTGAACAACAGAGTGCTGCAGTTACTCAGGTGAACATCAAGGCCATGGGCCTCTTGTTATTATTATTTTGGGGGTCATTTTCTGCTGTATTGTGTTAGCCAGTAAATTACAAGATAGACTGGAATCATGGAGAAGAGTATCAGCCACAAGTTATGGTTGTTTGCTATGCATTATCCCTTGTTTTGTGAAGTCTGTGCATGTCTAGGCAGATTCCGTTAGAGGAATGGCAATGGCATCGTACAGTATATTTGATACGAGCCTGTTGAGCTCGTTGTGTAGATTGGTAATCTATCTCTTGTCCTTGTGTCACGTTTTATTAACTTAGTACATGTAATGCATATCTAGCTTCTCACATTTTACATAACGATTCAATTGATGATTTTGAACTATCACTATGATCTCATCATTAAGGAGCTGTTCTGTAGTTGAAGAAGCAGTTCAAAATAAAATTCCTTGTTAGAAGTGACCCGAGTCTGAACTCTGAAGTGTAACAGAATTTTTCTTGTGAATAAATTTAACTCTATATAATATATATTTTGTAAATAGTTGAAAAAAAAATCAAGTTATGAAATTTGTAGCCAATGATAATAAAAAGATGAAAAGTAAGTTATGAAAAGTAATAGCATTAATTTTCTATATTTATAGCTACATAATTTGGTAAAGACTACATTTAATAGGAACAAATGGTAAAACAACTCTTTTAACAAATTGCTGTCTATTTACAGTGTGACTCCAATAAAAACACAAGTGGTGTCAGAGGAGATAGCAATGAAGTACTTGCTTGTTGTCAATTCAGTTTTGTCATCTTGTTGTGTGATGATCTTGTTATTTTCTTTGGCTTGTGCCAGTTAAATCAAATGCTTGCTTATTTAACTATATCTTGTCTTGTATTACGTCGATAAATATGAACTTTGTACTGTTATACAAAGTCAGTCGTAAGCTTTTTTTCAACTTCTTATTTTATTGTGCAAAAGCATGAGCTTTTTCCTTCTCTGGTCCTTTTTGGTGGAATCAAATGTGACCTTGCAGCCTCTTTTATCTTGTTGTCCTGTTGTGTAAAATTAAACTTGAGCTTGTTGCCTGTTTTATGGTCTTTTTGACCTGTTCTTTAAACAAGAGTTTGTTGTCTCTTCTATATTGTCCTATTTGCAAAATCAAATATGAACTTGTTACTAAATTTCATCTTGTGCAAATTTAAACACGAGTCATGTTAATTGTTACTGTAACATCTAATGCGTTCTATCATACAAAGTCCGTGTAAGCATTGTGTCATTTCTGTCTTGATTCTTTACGTCAAAATAGCATCTTGAATTGTGAATTGAAAGATGTATATTTTTATTGCAAAATGACAATATTGTAACTGTACTTTTACAGTTTGAAACTGATCATTTACATTTACGTGTTTTGTACTCATCCTGCTAGTAGTGACTCCTGGGATAGACCATGGATCGTAGCATTATTGATTTGGACATGCTTATTATTCATACAATTCCCAATGGCTATGCAAGTCACCTAATTTTCAATTCTTTGTACTATTTCTTTAGCGTTTTTTTTTTTTTTTTTTCAGTTTTCACAGAGTAGGATATAAATACATTTATGAGAATTAAATTGAATTTTAACAAAATGAAAAAGAAATTGTAGTAAGAATTTGTTCAACCTTTCATCTACGATGTGTTACCTCCATGTTTTTTTGAGAAGACTGGTGCATACATGTATAGACTTTAGCATTGTTAGTTGTATAAGATAGAGTGTCCAACAAATAAATCAATATTCTTAACCTTGCATCTGAATAATATTTGGTATATTTGGGCTTGAGTTAATTAATAGCTAAGAATCACTGTATGAAATGCAATGGTTTATGTGCTTTCTTCATTTGTTCATGTTCCCTAATGCCCCATGTGTCAACTTTATATGCATGCAACTTCCTATCTATGTCATTGTACATATATTCCTTTGTATTTTTTAATGATAGCTCAAGTCGTAGATTTGGGGACTTAAAAATTTGAAAGAAGAGAAGCAAATTGACAGAAAACATAAAACAATGCTACTGAATGTCAGTCAATAGTTTATGTTTCATATTTTGATAGCAGTGTTCTCAAAAGTTTAATGAGTATAGACATAAATCATATTTTAAATGTTCCATTCATGAAAAAAAAATCCATGATTTTGTGTGTTCTGTATAAGAAATAAAGCTACACACTGCTGATCTGTTTTTGAAAGCATGGCTTGCAATTAAGGCATGTTCATAATATTGTTATTTTTTTTACTTTGATTTGTAAATTATTAATGTGACCATAATTTTGGTTAGAGAAACTCAAATTGATTTTGTAGTAGAAAATATGGTCATTCTGCTAGATACCTAAAGGAGTCTATAACTAAATGCTAATGATAAAATCAAGATTAGAGCTGTACTGGAACTGCTGAACCAACTATTCAAGGTTACACATTTGCTCTTCAAGGTTAATTATCTTTACCTTATTAGCTAATCAAAGATACATCTTTATCAAACCTACTGTTTGAGATTATAATTCAATCTTACCTAATGTTCAAAGTTTACAGCTTTATCTTGCCTGTTTTTCAAGGCTATCTTTATAAATGAGCAGTTCATGGATAAACCCAGTTTATCTCACCTTGTGTTTGAGGTCACAACTTCTTCATGGTTACACCTTTATTGGTTTACCTTGAGTTCAAGGTCATATGTCATCACACACCTGATTAAGCCCCCCCCCCCCCTTTCTCTGCCCAGTGTTATTGGCACAGTTTTACCATACTGATGTTGGTTTATTTACCATATGATACCCTAGGCGAGTGTTTAATATAACACTTTTACCATATCTACTGTTCAGGAGACTTATTTATCATAGCTTGTGTTCAGTGGTGCACTTTTACCACCTTGTGTTCAGTGTTGAAATTTTACCACATTGAATGTTGAATGTCAAGTTTTACCATGATACCTAGTGTTTAATGTTACATTTTATCATGCCTAGTGTTTAATATAACACTTTACCATACCTAGTGTTTAATGTTACACTTTACCATGCCTAGTGTTTAATATAACACTTTACCATACCCATATAATCTTCCTCTCAAAAATAGTTTTACCAAATCTAACCAGTTTTAGTTTATAGTTCTATGGGTCAAGGAGGAACCAAAATTTACCATACCTAGTGTTTAACATACATACCACTTTACCATACCTTGTGTTTAATATAACACTTTACCATACCTAGTGTTTAATATACATACCACTTTACCATACCTTGTGTTTAATATAACACTTTACCATACCTAGTGTTTAATGTAACACTTTACCATACCTAGTGTTCAAGTGATTTCTGTGTCATACCTCATGCCTTAACCATAGTGTTCATGTTAGACTCTACAATGTCTGTTGTTTAGTATTACATTTACCATACCTGATGTTAAAAGGTTACCATTTAAGCATGTTAAGTAGAAATCTCATTTGTCAACATGGCAAAATATTTGCTGATTATGAACAATATTCATAGAGATGATATATTCATGTGTTTAATTTATTTATTATTGTGTGTTTTAATGAGTTAAGTGTGGCACATTGATAAGCTCCAGTTGGTGTGGGTGGTTAGCCTTGTGGATAAATGATTTTCTGTTTTACAGACTTCTCTAGCTGTCCCTGGGTCCTCCCTCTCCTTGGCTGGGGAGCCTCGCAGCAACAGGTCCAAGTCATGGAGTGGACGACCAATCTGGATGGAAAGAGAGGTTCAGTCTCGAATCAAAGTACCACATACATTTAATGTACGCAATTACACCCGACCCACTATGTGCCAGTATTGTAAAAAGCTTCTACGTGGCTTGTTTAGACAAGGAATGCAATGCAAAGGTAATTTTCTGTTCACAAAAAAATATAGGTACATGTGTTTTTATTTTGATCATTCTTTAATGAATTTATGGCTAATTGCATTCAATAAAAATATTTTCTCACAGATTGCAAGTTTAATTGTCACAAGAAATGTGCAGAACATGTTCCAAAGGACTGCACTGGAGAACTTCCTAAGATTGGAGGTAAGGACAGAACTAGTCATTTAATACATAACAAGAGTCTGTATCTATCTGGAGTGGAGTCACACAGATGTGATATCTATGATAGTTTACCAGAAACTTTAATCTGATTTTCTTAGATTAATATTAAAACCTTTGCTTGCCAGTTTTACCAGAGCCTAGTTTTCCATCAGACTCGTACCCATCAGAGGCGGACACAACATTTACAGAAATGGCAGATGAGACTGACGATGCTTTTAATGATGATCTGGATGATGATGATATAGAGCAGAAGCCTCCTCTCAGGTGAAATTTATACTAACTTATCGTAGATCACTGTACCTAGAACTGATTGTGATAATTAAAAAATACAGTTACTACACCTCTTGTATTGTTGATAGTCTTAATATTTATACAGCTTATGTTAGATTGTTATACATCATGTACCATAGATACAAGTGGACGTATTTAAGATGGGGCGAAGTTAAAGAAAACAGTATAATTTCTTAAACGGAACTGTGACTGGGCAAATTTAAAACGGGGCAAAATTGTTTGCAAGTATGAACGGGTGAAAATAACACGGGTCAAAAATAACCCTGTATACAGTATTCTAAAAAAAAAAGAAGGTTGTGGAACTCACAGATATTGAAAAGTTAATTTGGTTTACAGTAATTTTCAGCATTACACATAGTAAATTGTACAATAGATACTATCTAATACAGTGTCCAAAGGTATTTAAAAATTTATGCAACATACACATGTACAACACATGGTTATCAAAGACTGATACAATGCTTCAAAGTTCACTTCCACAGTAAGAAGTAAAGCATCAGTAAAGACCCTGACAGAGTGGGTCTATATATTTTATAGTCGTTGTTCTTTTAACTGCTTGAGATGAGATGATTATGGCTGAAATTTGTGATTACAGTCCAACTCAGAGCAGTAACATTCCACTGATGAGAATTGTGCAGTCTATAAAGCACACTAAAAGAACTGGCTCAAAGATTATCAAAGAGGGTTGGCTAGTACACTTCACAAACCTAGACTCGCAGGTAATCAAGGAATCCATACACAAACCTAGACTCATAGGTAATCAAGGACTCAATACACAAACCAAGACTCACAGGTAATCAAGGACTCAATACACAAACCTAGACTCACAGGTAATCAAGGACTCAATACACAAACCAAGACTCACAGGTAATCAAGGACTCAATACACAAACCTAGACTCACAGGTAATCAAGGACTCAATACACAAACCTAGACTCCCAGGTAATCAAGGACTCAATACACAAACCTAGACTCACAGGGAATCAAGGGGGCTTAGTACACATACCAAGACTCACGGGTAATCAAGGACTCGATACACAAACCTAGACTCACAGGGAATCAAGGGGGCTTAGTACACATACCTAGACTCACTGGTTATCAAGGACTCGATACACAAACTTATGCCCTGTTCACACGGAGAGTTTAATTCGCAGTAAATTAATGCGAAGTAAAATGATGCGAATTAAATTAATGCGAATTAAATTGCGTTAACACGACAGCTAATGCGAAGTAAACTAATGCGAATTATAATGTTATTTCTACAACATGGCTATTCAGTGAGGCTATTATGACGTCATTTACAAATCACGTCATATTGTGCAGAGCAGATATGAATTTGACATAATGTCATAGTGTCTGTACACATTTTAGTGATTAACATAATTTTCCTTTGTTTTCCACTCAAAAATAGCGCAAGTACCTATATTTGACCATCGAGATGTGGCCTGTGACTTAATTCTGCCCTAACGCATGCATCAACATTTAATTCGAATTAGCTTCGCTTAGCGTTCACATGGAGCTAATGCGAAGTAATTTAATGCGCGGTAAACTAATTCGAATTAAACTAATTCGCATTAAATTCTCCATGTGAACGCGGATCAAATTTAATTTGCAGTAACTTACGTTTAATTCGAATTAAACTCTCCGTGTGAACAGGGCATTAGACTCACGGGGAATCAAGGAGCTTAGTACACATACCTAGACTCACAGGTAATCAAGGGCTTAGTACACATACCTAGACTCACGGGGAATCAAGGGCTTAGTACACATACCCAGACTCACGGGTAATCAAGGGCTTAGTACACATACCCAGACTCACGGGTAATCAAGGGCTTAGTACACATACCTAGACTCACGGGGAATCAAGGGCTTAGTACACATACCTAAACTCACAGGTGATCATGGACTCGATACACATAACTAGACTCATAGGGAATCAAGGGCTTAGTACACATACCTAAACTCACAGGTGATCATGGACTCGATACACATAACTAGACTCATGGGGAATCAAGGGCTTAGTACACATACCTGGACTCATGGTTAATCAAGAACTCAGTTCACAAAGCTAGACTAACCTTGACACATGTAATCAAAGACTCAATAAATTCACAAACCTAGACTCGTAGGTAATCAAGGAATTGGTACACAAACCTAGACTTGTACATCAAAAACCTAGACTCACATAATCAAGGACTGGACACATCTCACAATCTTAGAATCACAGCAAATCAAGAAATCACAAGTTACATAATCCTAGACTCACAGGTAATCAAGGACTCAATAAACTCAAGGACTTGGCACACGTTACAACCAAGCCTAACAGGTTATCAAGGACTCAGGTAATAAAGTCTGATTTGAATATTCATTTAAGTAAATAACTGACCTCAATTCAAGAAAATAACTAAACCTCAGGTGCAATTTCAGAAATTGTTAGATCAGCAATGACATTACTTTTAAATCAGGTAGGTTATTATTAGACTAGCAGGAATTACAAAACTCTGAAGGTAATTACATAACTCACTGTAAGGCACCCTTATAATACAGGTACATGTATCTCACCAATAGATTCATCTCCAGATGATAACACAAATATACTTACGTATTTTAAAGTTTTCAAATTCATTGAAATAAAAACACTGCATTACAACACAGTGCAGGATTTCTAAGTGGTTCGTAAAATATTGTAAAGCGTCTTTTGTTTAAAAAAAGTGGTTGAGATATCAAAAATAGGAAGTAATTCAAAATGAGATTGAAACTGTAATGGTTACCAATGTATCAAATGTAAAAATAATATAAGACAAATAGTAATGAATGAATGAAAGAAATTTATTTTTGATCTTCTGGAGTGACCACAGGATGTCTTGGAGTGTGTAAATAATTATGTTACTCTGATTTTTATAGAGAAAAAGACATTTCTGGAAGTTAGATTCAAAGGCCATCACTATGTTCCAGCACGAGAACTCAAACCGATATTATAAGGTGAGAAAGATTACATATCAATATCAGAAATCAATCAATACAATTACAAACTAGATGCTGTCATGAGACAGTAATACCCGCACTAAGGTGTTTGCCTCTAAATGCACACTCCTTCATATTGGGCTTACCAAGGAAAAAGTCCAAATAATTCTATAATTTACACAGTACATGTATTCGTCAAATCGAGCATAAAATGCTCAGGTGACCATGTGACCCATGAACCTCTTATACGCATTTCATATACTTAATTCATTACCAGTCTGAAATATCAGAATTTAATTAATGTTGTAAATTAGGTTTTAATAAAAAGGGGGGGGGGTATAAATTTTTGGCCCATAATTGGAACTTTTTAAATTAAATTTATCTTCTCAACAACAAATAATATTATTTTAGTACAAAGCGTTTTTGATGAATTTATCAAAATGTGCAAACTTTTTTTAGTATTTGATTAGGCAAAAACCTCCTTGAAAAGCCATACCCAATCAATTTATATGTGTCCCCCCCCCCCCCCCCAAATACACACACACACACAATTTGCCTGTTTTTGGAAATAGGCCTAGATGGCAAAGTTATGTTAAAACATCGTTTGTTATGATAATTTAAAATTTGTTCTTGTACTGTACATGTATGTGAACACCTTTTTGAAAATTTCTACATCACATTGGGCTTGCGTCACCCTACCAGTACTAGTACTAGTTTTACCATTATCATTTTTAGATTGCACATGCCATGTGACATGGTGCAGTGTTAAATGTATATCAGTGGAAATTAATTCATTTTGTGTTTTAATTGGATTATATTTCATGAAGTTGACAGGACCTATGACAGTCGGTAAGTACAAGTTTAAGTATAGATTGGGGTAAAATAAACCAAAATGCAAATGGTTAGGTTAAAGTTTAAAAAGGATCAAAGATCATCGGCAATCTCCTATGCAGAGTTGTCGTTCGTTTCTCTCTCAGACACTGAATGTATGAGCCGATCGTAGAGAGTGGATCATCGATGCCACAATAGACGAATTTCACATTCTGAAGAGTTATCTCCCGTTGTCGACATTACATTCAGTTACAGGCATAGATCCGGGAATTTTTTTCCGGGGGGGAGGGGGGTCCACACCTCGGTCCAAAAAAATTCCAGCCCAGAATTTTCTGAGGAGCAAAATAAAAAACAAACAAACAAACAAAATAAAAACAATGATGGTGGGGTCCATGTTTTTAAAGGGGGAGGGCATCCAAAGTCATTTTTTATTTGCTTCTGTAAATCAGTATATAGTCCTATTTAAATAACTCTGCAAATTCCAGGGGGGGGGGGGGGGGTTCCAATCTCCCTAGCCGCTCCCTGTCCCTGAAATGACAAATGATCATGCGACTCCTAAATAGTAGAAAATTTTTCCATTTGACTAGACATAATTTTGTTTCTTGTGTTATTATGTTATGTGCATCTAATGGTTTAAGGTTATGAACCCTTGAGGTCATCCCCACTCTCTTGTTCATAATATGACTACATCAAATTAAATAGAAGTGCATCAATGATAAGATTACTTGACATTTCATTCATGAATTTGGGTCAACCTAGAATTAGGAATGAAAATCATTCAAAGAGATGGACCATTAAACTATTTGTATGTATTCACATTTTTTTTATGTCAAACCAAAGTATTAGACTAGTTTGCATACATGAACAAACTGGGGTCTGGGAAGGGGAAGGGGCAAGGGGAAGGAGTTATCTCTTTACGTCTTAATTAATTGTTGAAAATTCCTAAAATGAATGTTAACCTTAAATCCGACTTGTACGTCTTCATTATTTTTAAGTGGTGGTGTCTCCGTATGAGTGAAAAATTCCCAAGAGGGACATTTAACAACAAACAAACATTAATGACTTAAAAAACACAATATACATGTACATGTTTATTAGTCAATGGATATACTTCTGATCATATCTCTAGTTCTCCCTTGAATCAGAAATGATGATATAAATATTTTAAGAATGATTAAGAGTTGAAAAGGTGTGCATTTTAAAATTCACTAAGCTCTGTGGTTGAATTAGCTATACCAGTTTAGCTTATTTTGCTACTCAAAGCACCTTGATTAACTATTTTTAATCATACTGTTTTCTGAAATGTGAAGTTTTTTCAACATGGATACAAGTCATACCTTTTCAGCTTCTGAAAACAATTAATGCATGAAAAAAAACTGCTTTTCAAATACTGTAACTCTTTCCAAGTACTTGTGATCATCAGTTTTTAGCTCACTTGAGTTTTTCTGGTTTTCTGATCACATTTTGTTTGTCATTCATCTGTCCGCCTGTAAACTTTTCACATTTTTGTCTTCTTCACTAGAACCGCCGGGCCAATTTCAACCAACCCAGCCACAAAGCATCTTTGGGTAAAGGGGATTCAAGTTTGTTCAAGTGAAGGGTCACACCCTCTTTCAAGGGGGGATAATCAAGAATTAGTGAAAATTTGGTGGTATCATTTTAAAAAAGTCTTATCAAGAACCACTGACTGGGCCCAAAAAGTTGAAACTTTCTTTACATAGACAGTGTAGCTTCAAATTTGTTAAAATTATGACCCACTGGGGTAGGATGGGGCCACATATGGGGATCCAATGATTTACATAGAAAAATGCAGGGGATTTTTTCCATCATAAATCTTCTTCTCATGAATAGCAAGGGCATTATTGTCGTCCGTTTTCACAAAAGGGACCTAGGGGACATTAAATCTCATTTGTCTGTCAGTCTGTCCGTTTGTCAGTCTGTCCGTCTGTCACAATAAATTTAACCTTG